GACAATGGCGAGGTGATAGAGGCACAGAATGCCCAGGAAGCTCCCAGTGGTCTGCAGGGCTGGAACGAGTGGGTACTGGGGCCAAGATGGTCTGAGAGAAGGCTGAACAGGTGACCAGCTCCTGACATGGAGGACCCATCCCTGGAGGACAGACTTCATCTGGGGCATCCTGGGGAATGTTTGCAAGGAAAGGACATGACCAGACTTGGGTGGTTGAGGGTGGGAATCCAGAGCTAGAGAGACTTTGAGGAGGGTGTGGCTGTGTCCTTGGCAGAGTGGACGGGCAGTTGGAGATTCAGGAGGTGGGAGTAACAGGAAAGAGAGGAGCCAGGATGCCCCCCTGGCTTTTTTGCTAGCCAATTAAGAGAGCGCTGTGACTGCACCAGCCTGTCCTGCATCTTAATAAAATGGGCCAAGAGAAGGGGTGGTTTGCAAGGCCTTGGTCTCCCCCAAGAAGTCTACTCACTTTCCGGTCACTCAGGGCCGGTGGATGTAGAGACGATGGGGCTGAACCAAGGGGGTCACGTGCAGTCTTGAGGACAGACCGATAGACCATTTTTAGAGCAGTAAGGTGGGACGGGGGGAAATGACCAAGCTGGTTTTACAGATGAAACGCTGTTGGCCAGTGATGGGGTGTCTCCAGGCAAAGGGAATAGCAAAGGCTGAAAGGAGAGTGAGGTGCACAGGCACAGCAGAGATTGGGGGAGGTGAGGAGGGTGGCAGACCGCAGGGGGTTTCACGCCCCCGTGATTTTTCCCGAGGTCCTTGAGGGACTTACATAAGGGACTCTCAGAGTCAGATTTGTGTCTTGGGAAAATGGATCCAGCTTTTTTGACGGCAGATGAGAGCTGCAGAGAGGGGGCTGTCCACACAACGACCAAGATCACCTGTGAAATTGGCAGGTGAATTTAAAGTGATGGTGCCAGAGGTTGACAGGGGAGGACTGGGCACTGTCATGGATGGTCAGTGGGAGAAGAAATTCTTGGAACAAATGACACCGTGTGTCAAGATGTATAAAAATCTGCATTCCTTTTAACCAAGTAATTCCACTCCTAGAAATTTATCTTGAGGAAATAATCAGAACTTCAGCTAAATATTATAAGTGTGTTCAGAGGAAAAAGTAGAAAGCCCTTCAATGTCCAACAATAAGAGAAGGTAAAATAAACTATGGTATATCCATGGAAAAGAATAATAAACTCATTATATATATATATATATATATATATATATAGTGACTATAGTAATGTAATAAAGATTTCTATTTTTATTTTACTTTAATTTATACAGAGTAAAATTCCCTCTTTTTGGTATAGTAGTTGTATAAATTTTAATAAAATCATAGAGTCATGTAACTACCACCACAATCAAGATAGAGAACATTTCCATCACCCCCCAAAATTTCCTTGTGTCCCTTTTGTAATCAGTCCGTTTCTCTGCCCCAACCATGGCAACCACCGATCTCTCTGGGACCCTATAGTTTTGCCTTTTCCAGACTATCATATAAATGGAATAATGCAGTATATAACCTTTCTGTAAATTAAACTTTTTATTTTGAAATCATTGTAGATTCACATGTAGTTGTAAGAAACAATACAGGGGACCCCATGTCCCCTTCACCTGGTTTCCCCCAATGGTAATGCCTTGTAAAACTCTAGTAAAATATCACAACCAGGATATTGACATTGATACAGTTAAGGCACAGAACATTTCCCTCACTGCAGATTCCTCATCTTGCCCTTCTATTGCCACTCCCATTTCCGTCCCTTCCAAGCCCTTTCTTTATCCGCTGGCAACTACTAATTTGGTCTTCATTTCTAATTTTGTCATTTCAAGATTGTTCTATAAATGGAATCACACAATTTGTAACATTTGGTGTTAGCGTTTTACACCCAGCCTAATTTTCTGGATGTCAGTTCAGATTGTTGGGTGAATCATAGTTTGTTGGTTTTTTATAACTGAATAATAATATTCCAAGTACAGAACCTTTTGAGTCTGGCTTCTTTAGTTCAGTATAACGGCTTTGAAGTTCACCCAGGTTATTCCATTTGTCAATAGCTTGTTCCTTTCTATTGCTGAGAAGTATTTCATTTTTCAATGTATTACATTTTGTTTAGCCATTCACCAGTATAGTGTTGAACTGAAGGGGCAAAAATAGGCATCCTTGTCTTGTTCCTGACCTTGAGGGAAAAGCGTTCAGTCTTCCACCAATGAATATGATGTTCAACGTGGATTTTTCATAGATGGTTTTATAAAGTTGAGGAAGGTCCCTTCTACTCCAAGTTTTTTAAGTCTTTTGTCATGAAATTGTGTTGAATTTTGTCAAATATTTTTCTGCATCAATGGAGATGATCACCTGGCTATCATCCTTCATTTTATTATTATGATATGTTGTGTTGATTGATTTTCTTAAGTTGAACCACCCTTGCATTCCTGAGATAAATCCCACTTGCTGTATGATTCTTTCAATATACTGTTGGATTCGCTTTTCTAGTTTTTTATTGAGCATTTTTGCATGTGTATTCATAAGGGATAGTTTGTAGTTTTCTTGTGATGTCTTTGTTGGGTTTTGAAATCAGGGTAATTCTCAAAGAATGAGTTAGGAAGTGTTCCTTTCTTTATTATTTTTCAGAAGAGTTTGTGAAGGATTGGTGTTAAATTTTCTTTAAATATTTGGTACAGGGGTGCCTGGGTGGCTCAGTCAGTTAAGTGTTTGACTCTTGGTTTTGGCTCAGGTCATGATCTCAGGGTCATGGGATCGAGCCCCACCTCAGGCTCTGCGCTCAGGGCAGAGTCTGCTTGAGAGTCTCTCTCTCTCTCCCTCTCCCTCCCCACCCACTCATGTGCCTGTATGCACTCAATAAATAAATAAATAAATAAATAAATATTTTGTACATACACACATGCATACATAAAAATATTTGGTAGGATTTTCTGGTGAAGCCTTCTCATCCTGGGCTTTTCTTTATGGGAATGGATTTTGATTACCATTTTAATCTCTTTAGTTGTTATAGGCCTGTTCAAGTTTTCTATTTCTTTTTGAGTCAGTTTAGGTTGTTAGTGTCTTTCTAGGAATTTGTTCAGTTCAACTAGGTTATCTGATTTGTTGGTATTCCATTGTTCATATTATTTCCTTATAATCCTTTTCAATTTTGCATGGTGTGTAATAATGTCCCAACTTCCAGTTCTGACTTTTTTTTTTAAAGAATATTTATTTATTTATTTATTTATTAGAGAGTGAGCAGGAGAGAAACAGCATGAGAGGGGAGAGGGTCAGAGGGAGAAGCAGGCTCCCCGCTGAGCCGGGAGCCTGATGTGGGACTCGATCCCAGGACCCTGGGATCATGACCTGAGCCGAAGGCAGTCGCTTAACCAACTGAGCCACCCAGGCGCCCTAGTTCTGACTTTTTTTAAAAAAAGATTTTATTTATTTATTTGACAGAGAGAGCGAGGCAGAGGGAGAAGCAGACTCCCTGCTGAACAGGGAGCGCAATGTGGGATTCGATTCCAGGACCCTGGGATCGTGACCTGAGCCCAAGGCAGATGCTTAACTCACTGAGCCACCCAGGTGCCCCAGTTCTGACTTTAATAATTGGAATCTTCTCTGTTTTGTATTTGTCGATCTGGTAAAGATTTCTCAGAGCTGCTAAACTTCGAAGAACCAGCTTTTGGTTTTACTGGTTCTCCTTATTGTTTTTTATTCTCTAATTCATTTATTTCTACTCTAATCATTATTATTTCCTTCCTTCTGCTAGCTTTGGAATTAACTTGCTCTTCTTTTTCTATTTCCTTAAGGTAGACTTAAGTTATTGGTTTGAAATCTTTCTTCTTTTTTAATAGAGACTTTTTATAGCTATAAATTTTCCTTAGAACACGACTGTCACTGAATCCCATAGGTTTTAGTGTGTTGGGTTTTCTTTTCATTCATCTCAAAGTATCTTTTAATTTCACTTGTAGTTTCTTCTTTGATCCACTGGTAACTTAAGACTGTTGTTTATGATTTTGACTACTCTAAATACCTCACATAAGTGGAATCATGCGGTATTTGTGCACCAACATTACACAAGGGTTCCAATTTCTCCACATCCTTACCAACACTTGTTTCCTAGTTTGTTTTTTTAATAGTAGCCATCCCAATGAGTGTGAGGTGGTATCTCATTGTAGTCTTAATTTGCATTTATCTAATGATTAGTAATATTGAGCATCTTTCATGTGCTTATTGGCCATTTGCATATGTTCTTTGGAGAAATGCCTGTTCAAGTCCTTTGCCCATTTCTGAATTGGGTTGTTTGTTTTTTTCTTGTTGAGTTTTAGGAGTTCCCTATATATTCTGGATATTAACCTTTTATTACATATATGATTTGCAAATATCTTCTCTCATTCTGTGGGCTGCCTTTTTACCCTGTCAAAAGCATCATTTGATATACAAAATTTTGACATTTTCGTGAAATCCAACTTGTCTAGTTTTTCTTTTGTTGCCTGTGCCTTCAGTATATCCAAGAAATCACTGCCAATCCAATGTTGTAAAGCTTTTGTCCTATGTTTTCTTCTAAGAGTTTCATTGTTTTAGCTCTTATATTTATGCCTTGCATCCATTTTGAGTTTATTTTTGTATATAATATTAAGTAAGAGTCCAACTTCATTCTTCTGCATGTGAATATCTATGTTTCCTAGCACCATTTATTGATAAGACTGTCCTTTCCCCCATTGAATGGTCTTGGCACCCTTGTCAAAAATCATTTCATTGTATGTGTGAGAGTTTATTTCTGGGCTCTCTGTTCTATTCCATTGGTCTGTATTTATGTCAATACCACACTGTCTTGATTATTGTAGCTTTATAGTAAGTCTCGAAGCCTTGTGGTGTCATTTCTCCAACTTTGTTCTTTCCTTTCAATATTGTGTTAGCTATTCTGAGTCCTTTGCCCCACTATATAAACTTTAGAATCAGTTTGCCAATATCAACAAAATAATTTGCTGGGAATTTGATTGGGATTGCTTTGAAGCTACAGATCTGGCCTGAGGTTTGGGTAGTGAGAGCATTCATGGTCATGTGTGACAAGATGAAGACAGAAAAAAGAGCTGGGTTGGGGGGAAGGTGGTCAATCTCACTTGGATATGGTGAGTTTGAGATTCCTGTTGAACATCCAGCTGGAGATGGTCAGTAGGCAATTTAGGGAGAGTCAAGGAGAGGGTTTAGAGCTGGCCTAGACTTGAACTTCACCAAATGGGCAGTAGTGGGAATCCACAGTATAGGAAGATGGCAAAGGAGGACCCAGGGTGCCAATCTGGGAGTCAGCTGCCATGCATGGGCAGGGGTGAAAGAGAAGTCAGGGGAGGAGAATGGGAGGTCTCAGGTACCAACAGGAAGAGAGTCACTGAAAACAGAGGCTGATTCTATGTTGCATCCTGTAAAGACATAATGTACAACAGGAACTGGGGAACTGCCCAGGAAGAAGGCCTTGTTGGCCCTGACTTGAGAGCTTTCAGGGAGAGATGGAGATGAAAGCCAGGGAGGCCCTCCATGTCCCAGCATATGAAACAGTGCCTGGAGCTACTTTCGGATGGATAGATGGGTGAGTGGATGGATGGATGGATGGATGGATGGATGGATGAACACATGGACAGATGCACAGACAGGTGGACAGAAAAACAGTGGTCTGAGAGATCACAGAAAGCTTCATCAAAGAGGTGGGATTGCATTGTGACTTGATGTGTAGAGAAAAAGTGGGGGGTCTACACATGGAAGTACAATGAGTCAGGAATGACCCAGTCCCAGACCAGTAGGAGCAGGAAGGAAGCCACCTGGCTGGACCATGGGAAATTGTAGGAGAGGAACCCTCGGAAGCTCTAAATGAGGCCGTCAGGCAGGTCTGAGCCAGCTGAGGACTCGCTCTGCCACACCACATGAGAGGACAAGGCACCCAGGGATTTACTAAACACCCACTCCATGCAGTGTCACCGTCAGACTGAGGATTAGGAGGTGACCAGGACAGCCTTGGAAAGGGGGGAAATATACAAGACATGGGTAGAGTCTGCCTCAATCAGGGGGCTGGGCATGGGGACACCTCTGGGCTGTGGGCTCATCCAGGTGTGCCACAGCCTCTAGGAGGCTGGCTGCCCAGCCCCACCTGCTACATCCTTATGCCCATCACAGGTTCCTGTTCTGGCCTGGCCCCCAGGGGGCAGGCCCCAGGTGCTGGCCTGGTGGGCTTTGGCCTGAAACTCAGTCATCCTGGTTTGTTTTCAGTGAAGGAACCCAGCTCACCGTCCTAGGTAAGTGGCTCTCACCACATTTCCCAACCTGCCCCACCCCTCCGTTGTCTTGGGAAAGTTACTTTTCTTTGGGGGCTGCTCCCTGTCTGCCCTCCCAGCCTTAAGGACTGACCTTCTAGCAGATCTGTGGGATCTGGGGGAAGTGGATTGGTCTCGGGGAAACCAGCAGGAAGGACCCCAATGGTACAAGTATTTACCTTTAGAATCTGACGATTGAATGTGTCCAGATTCCAGGGCCCTAGGCTGGGGGTGGGTGATCCAAAAATGGGGGCTCCTTCCCTTCTTCCAGGGCGGACACCTGTGTGGGGTCTGAGGCTGGTTCTGACTAGGGGCACTGGGGTAGCCTTAGAGAGTCCCTTGGGGTCTTGGCTGCGGGCTTGATGCCCATCCAGGCTAGGAGGACCACACAGGAGGCTGGGGACATGGCTGGGGCTGTGAGCCCAGCCTCTGGGCACACAGAGGGGCAGTCAAAGGGGAGGCCCATAGGAGGGGGACAGAACAGTCTGGTTTGCTCTAGGCTGAAGTGCTGAGGGCCTCTGCTAGGCCATGGGGACATGGAGACAGAGACACGAGCAATGCAGGGCAAGGTGACCAGAAACACAGCCCTCCCAGGATGTTGGTCAGAAGGGAGCAGGTACCATGGGGCAGAGTCTTACCTGTCCCTGGAGCCCTATAATCCCCAGGTGTCTCACCTGTCCAAGGGGTGGCCTCCTGCCTTCCTCAAAGGGTACTTTAGACTCAGAAGATGACAAAGTGGGAAGTGAGTGGGGGCTCAGAGCTACACAGCTGCCCCTTAAAGTCAGGAATCATCAGAAGTGCTGAGGTGGCCATGGGGCCACCCTGCCTGTCGTCTGCGGGGAGTAGCCCCAAGAAGGCTGCAGAAGTGAAGGGTCCTGTGGTCAGGGCAGGAGAGATGTGGGAGATGGCAGAGCCTTGGAGTACCCAGCCTTCCCAGGAGGCAGGGACAGAGCTATTCCTGAGGGGGACAGGGGCTCCTTGCCCCACTGGGTGCAGGGCTCGGGACCTCCATACATACCGTCAGAGTTGTCCTGGCAGGCTGGGTAGGGGACTCCAGTTCACAGGGGAAGCACCTGGATCCAGAAGAATGAAGTGATATGGGGCCCAGATGCGGGGCTGAGGAGGAAACTGAGGCTGCAGATGCACCTCTCACACATCTGGGAGAGGTGACATGGAAGAGCTGCTGGGAGCATGGGGGGCTGCTTGCTGTCCAGGGCTGGAGTGGTAAGGAGGATCCCCTGGGTGAACAAACATGGCCACCATGGGAACAGTCACAGAAGCTGTAGATAAGGGAAGGGCTGCCCAACACCGGGACTCTCCCTGCATCTCTCCACTCTCTCCTCTGTCCACACAGATCAGCCCAAGTCCGCGCCCTTGGTCATGCTCTTCCTGTCATTCTATGAGGAACTCGGCGCCAACAAGGCCACCCTGGTGTGCCTCGTCAGTGACTTCTACCCCAGCGGCGTGACGGTGGCCTGGAAGGCAGACGGCAGCACCGTCACCCAGGGCGTGGAGACCACCAAGCCCTCCAAACAGAGCAACAACAAGTACGCGGCCAGCAGCTACCTGAGCCTGTCGCCTGCCAAGTGGAAATCATACAGCAGCGTCAGCTGCCTGGTCACGCACGAGGGGAGAACCGTGGAGAAGAAGGTGGTCCCCGCAGAGTGCTCTTAGGTCCCCGACACCCTCCCCCACCCAAGGGGGCCTGGAGCCACAGGACCTCCAGGCGGATCTGCCCTCCCACCAGCGTCAGCCCAGCCCTTCTCGCTGCACCCGCTCGACACTCAATAAAATGTCCTTTATTCAATCAGAAATCGTGCTCTCTGCTCATTGTGCTTCTAACACTTTGCATCCTGAACTCAACCATCCTCAAATGTGAACACAATTCTTTTCACCCTGTGGGAAAAGAGTCAGCAGAAGGCATTGTCATGTTTTTGCAAGGGGTAGTTTTACTCTCACCCAGAATTGCCAGAGAATATTCCAGAACAGGAGATACGAACGGCAGAACCAAGATAGACCATCCTCCCCAATATCTCTTTACTTGCCCTTCTTATGGGGACCACGTCAGTCACCAACAGTACCAAAGCCCACTGCTCGTGGTTCCCTGTGGACTCCTGGATAATGTCTGAGTTCCTCCTTGGACCTGGGGCCTCACTGTCAGGGACTAGCTCTCTCCTGAGATGTCCACTCTCCTTTCCTGGTAGGCCCCTGCTCGACGCCATGTTTTCTCTGGTTTCCTACCCCATATGGACCTTCCCCATCATCACAGCCTAGAGTGTCCCCTCTTTCTTAGCAGTCCCCTTGCTCCTGCCTCCCCAGTGACACTGTCCTGTGCTCCTCCCACAGACGTCTCTGTCACACTCACTACAGGACCCTCAGTCCCTCGACCCTAGCCATTCAATCCCACGCTCCCACTGAGGGCTCCTCCTCCCACGTGTGTCATGGGGGCCCCAGCCGCATTCAAGGTCCTTGGGAGGCAGGGACCATGTAGAATCCAATCCATCACTGACCCACCACAAGCACTAACCCAAAATGTCCATGGGTAATCACTGGGGCCTTGAGTTCAATGTCAAGATCAGATTCTGGATTATGCCCTGGACAAATCTGGGAAACTGATTCACCTTCTTAGGAGTTGGGAATGGGCCCTGAGAACCA